TTCTTATTGGATTTAATAAGGTTTCTAATAAGAAATCAAATAGCTTTTAATGAGAATAAATGATAAGAAATCTTATTTGATTCAATACAAATAAGTGAACAAATTCTATTACATTCAATGAGATATTCAATAACAATAGGAATTTATTTTCTTATTAAAAATCCTATTGGAATTTTAATTACTAAAAAACAATTTAATAGACATAACTGAGAGAAATTCAAATAAAACTAAATTCTTACAAAATTCAATTAGATGTCTTATTTGATTAAATAAGAATTTCATATGATTCACAATTAAAACATTTCAATAAAATTAAAATTGGACTAACTATAATAATTCATATAAGAGTCAGTAATAATCACTAATATGAATTTATATTACATTTAATAGAAATACGATATAAATTCTTATGGGATTCAATAAGGTTTCTAATAAGAAATCAAATGGCTTTTAATAAGAATAAATGATAATAAATCTTATTTGATTCAATACAAACAAGTGAACACATTCCTATTAGATTCAATGCGATATTCAATAAAAATAGGAATATTTTTATATTACATATAGGCCTATACAGTAGTTTCAATTAGGCTTTCGATAAAAATTTAAAGGGTAGGCCTATTTTATAAGAATAAAACGAACATAAATCGTATTCAGATTTAATAAAATTTCTTATACAAAATTATATTTACAATAAGGAAAATTATTTCCTATTGGATTCTCTAGGGTTTCAAATAAGAAATGAAATAGGATATAATTATATTAAAATAAGAAATCCTATTTAATATTCTTAATTAAAAATAAAATGGAAGAATATAATCGTATACCCGTCAAATAACAAATTATGAGTAATCTTATAAATATAGGCCTATATTAAGTGTAACGGGAAAAAGTAAGAATCAATAAAAGTGATTCACAAAAGATTCCCACGGGATTGAAAGGGTTTTCCTGGGGTATTACTTTTTTTAAACTAATTTTAATATTCTCATAAGAATAATAATAATTACAAGATACTTAAAAGTGTCATAACAATTACCACATGCAATTGGACTATGTAATCATTCAAGCAGAAATATTTGCTGTTACTGTACTTACCCCGGTATTCTTAAAACAAACTTTAGTCATAATTCGAGCTAAAACTTAAAACTAGTGCTGCGAAGTACAACTGCATATAAATGTTCTTCGAACAAAATTATTTATGCGAGTCAAGTGAAAATAATGAATAATAAAACTATAACAAATAATATGAGACACGACCCATTGTCTATATTAGAACACTTCTCATTGAGTAACAAAGTCGTAATTTTTCATTTTTGTCAAAAAGTGTCTATAGTGTGGTGAATTATGGTTTAGGTATTTTTTAATAAAGTTTTAACAATTTCTATGTATGTGGAAAATGTAGTTGATTACCAAAGGTTACAATTTTTATTTTGAAGACTGCATGGTCTAAGAAGTGTACATTTTTTTATGGGGAAAGTTTCCAAGGGCGGGTTTTCTAGGGGCGAGTTGACTGCCAAAGAGTGTTGCCAAAGTGCGAGCCAGCGTGTTATTTGATCACAAGTGAGAGACATATCACAAGTGCGAGACATATCACAAGTGTGAGCCAGCGAGCCATGACGTCACGACAATAGATAGAGACGTTAACCAGTTGTGCGAGGTATTGGCTGAGATTTGTGGAGTACAATTCAAAAAACAACTATAGGTCTAATAATGAATTATTGTGATGTTAAATAGACAATGTTAGCTATCAAAGAGCGACGTTGTTTTTCATTGGGACCTTCGTCCCTTCAAGGCTAGGCCTATACCATCCTAGCTAGCCTAGGCCTAGAGTAGGATCTGTCTCTTATACACATCTAGATGTGTATAAGAGACAGAATTAAATGACTATCTAAACTATATTTATATCACCATATGTACATTATTGAACAAAGTCCATTTATACTAGTAATTATCATTATTATTTGCCAATAAAAGTGGTATTCGAAGTACAAACAC